CCCACAGTTAACAGTGCATGTAACTGCACAAATCAAACCATGAAGTCCAAGGAATTGTCCGTAGGCCTCCAAGACAGGATTGTATCAAGGTATAGATCTGGGGAAGGGTACAGAAAAGTTTCTGCAGTATTGAATGTCCCAATGAGCACAGTGGCCTCCATCATCCATAAATGGAACAAATTTGGAACCACCAGGAATCTTCCTAGAGCAGGCTGCCCAGCCAAAATGAGTGATCGAAGGAGAAGGGCCTAAGCCAGGGAGGTAACCAAGCACCCCATGGTCACTCTGAAAGAGCCCCAGCATTTCTCTGTGGAGAGAGGAGAACCTTCCAGAAGAATAACCATGGCTGCAGCACTCAGGCCTGTATGGTAGAGTGGCCAGATTGAAGCCACTCCTCAGTAAAAGGCAAATGGCAGCCCACCTGGAGTTTGCCAAAAGGCACCTGAGGGACTGTCAGACCACGAGAAACAAAACTCTCTGGTCTGATGAAACAAAGATTAAACTCTTTGGCCTGAATGCCAGGCGTCATGTCCGGAGGAAACCAGGCACCACTCACCACCTGGCCAATACCATCCCTACAGTGAAGCATGGTGGTGGCAGCATCATGCTGCTGCGGGGATGTTTTTCAGTGGCAGGAACAAGCAGACTAGTCAGGATCGAAGGAAAGATGAGTGCAGCAATGTACAGAGACATCTTGATGAAAACCTGTTCCAGAGTGCTCTAGACCTTGGACTGGGGCGACGGTTCATCTTTCAACAGGACAACGACCCTAAGCACACAGCCCACATAACAAAGGAGTGGCTATGGGCCAACTCTGTGACTATCCTGGAGTGGCCCAGACTTCAACCCGATTGAACATCTCAGGAGAGATCTGAAAATGGCTGTGCACCGACGCTCCCCATCCAACCTGATGGAGTTTGAGAGATGGCGTTTGATGGGGTTTGAGAGGAAATTGCCCAAAAAGAGGTGTGCCAAGCTTTTAGCATCATACTCAAAACAACTTGAGGCTGTAACTGGTGCTAAAGGTGCTTCAACAAAGTGTTGCGCAAAGACTGTGAATACTTATGTACATGTGATTTTTATCGACTTTTTTAATTTCTTATAAATTGCACATTTCAAAACAAACCTCTTTCACGATGTCATTATGAGGTATTGTTTGTAGAATGTTGAGGAAAAAAATTAATTTATTCCATTTTGGAAAAGGGCTGTAACATAAAATGTGGCAAAAGTCAAGCGCTGTGAATACGTTCTGGATACACTGTATCCAATAAGTTTCTTGTGCACAAAATTTTTTTGAATCTCTCTCCTTCTGAGTTGGATATTGATCGAATAGCTGTTACTCGGAACAAAGAGGGATTCCGATCACGATGGGAAGAAAAATGCCGTGGAATGCTTAAGGCTTCTTCTGTGTTCTCCAAACCTGGTGCGAAGTGTGAACTCCAACCCAGCTCTCTGCATGCCTTTCTGCAGCGGTTTGACATCTGAGCAGCTCCTGCACTGATGGGATTCCACCCAAAGGCTCCACACTACATACCATTTCCTTTGGACATTTGTGAGTGCATTACTATGTATTTTACTATCTGTGAATAAAAATTCTGCTACACTATTGGCGGCTTGGCACCTCATCCTCTCATCCCTTTCTCTTTTACAGTGCATGGGTTCCCAGCCCATTCCAAGAGGCAGCCTGGTTTCCACTGGCATTGGTAGCCAAAAAGAGTTTAACTGGTTCACTTGTTTATTTAGCCTATGGGACTTTTAAATGTACTTTACTGCATTTTATTTGTGTGTTAATGTATGAGGACTCGTTTTATGCTCAACATTTCATTACATGCCAGCTGGTGGTTGATACTATAATAGTCTCCCATACACTGTCCAATCTGATTGTCAAAAACGTTGTATACAAAGTGTGGCACCGAGTGAATTTTTTTAAATTTATAAAACAGACTTTCAAAAACCTGGTCTCATTACCATTCAAAGCAGCAACCCCCAAAATGTTTACCCCATCCCCTTCTAGATAATTCCCCAATTAAAAAAAAAAAAAAAAATCCCTAAATACTTACCTCTGTGGTCACATAAGGCACCAGACCCGAATTGTTCTTTAATTTGGATTGCAGAGTTGGAGGGTCTTTCTTTGGGTGTCTACATCACGGTTTTACATACTTCACAGGGGCTGTCCATCGGAGGGGTCCTCACTGGTTCTAAAAACTCCATTGACAACATGACGTAAAAAAAAAAAAGGGGATGGCAAGTAGACCAGTTAGCACTGTGTCTAGACAGCATCAGTGGATCATCGGTCATCACTCCTGGAAGAGGCACTGAGATATGATGGTGTATTCAGGTGAGTAAGAAACTACCTTGATTTTTGGAAGAAATAAAGGGAACAGTGGTGACAGGGTTGGGGTTGGTGACACGTGAGGGAATGAGGGAACTTTAGAACTTGCCCAGAGATTGACTTCTTTACATGTCAAGTGACACATGACTATCACAGAAAAAATTAAGTTGTTCAATATGTGGGCTCTGATTGGTTGTCTTCCTTCCCTTTTTGGCTAGTCATATAACACGTAGATTCTTTTCATCTTATAGAGCTGATTCACACCCCAAAAACACACTCCAGATTCATTCTGGATGCGCTTCTGCATGTGAGATTTTAATACATTTTTTATGCGTTCTGGTGCGTTTTTGGTTTTTTGTTTTTTTTTATGCATTTACAGATGTATTCCATATGCTTTTTTTTTTCTGTTTTTCTCCCTATACTGGGGTCTGATGCATTTTTGATGCATTCTGGTGTGTGTTTGTTTTCTGCTATACACAGGTTTATTATAGCTATCATAGCCATCTGCTACATTTAAAATTTCTGGTTTATGTAGCCCCTACATAAGAAGTAGTAGTCCACAAAATGGGCAAAAGTAAAGATTGAAGATTCAGGCATCTGTGTATCTCTTTTCCCCAGTGACTCCACACTAAAGTCAATTTGCCAAGCCTTATTGGTTCTTATTACAGACCCTCCTCTGCCTTAAAGACATACATTTCATCTCGCTTCTATTGGTTGGACACAGAAACAGTAAACATTGCTATACATTGGAACTTTGAAGTTCAGGGACATAATTAGGGAAAATAATTATGAAAGCACGAAGAGTATATTTGCACCTTGCAATGGCTGTAGAAGCTATTACGGATAGAGATTGCATTCTAAATTTTTAAGGCAAATGGTCTCCTGATGCAGCTGCCAGGAGTGGATAAAACTGGTAGGGTTTGCTTGGTGCTGCATGGATTGGACATGGTCTTTAATAGCTTTTTTTTTTTTTTAATGAAGAGATTTTTTTCAATGAAGTACTTGAAATACAGCACAGACTGACATTGTGTGGATGGCTGGCTCCTGGTTTTCATTTACAGCATGGTGGTTGTTGATTTAAAGACATATGCATTTAGTTTTATCCACTTAAATAAGCTATTCTGATACACAGCATGTAAGGTTGGTTTGGCTATAGTTTTATCTGATGGTATAGGAGACTTGGCCTTTTGCCCCATACATTTCAAGCTATTCATCTGTAGACAGATAACTATGTTTGGAGTAATCACTTGGGTATTTAAAGACACCTTTCTTTCAATCTGCATTTGTTTACTCAAAGAAGTTGTCCTGACACATAAGGGGTTTATTTACTAAAGCTGGAGAGTCCAAAATCAGACTCCCTTCTGCATAGAAACCAATCGGCTTCTAACCTCAGCTTGTTCAATGAAGCTTTGGCAATGAAACCTGGAAGCTGATTGGTTTCTATGCAGAAGGGAGTCTGATTTTGGACTCTCCAGCTTTAGTAAATAAACCCCATAGGGTTTGATTTACCATAGGCAAATAGGCATCTTCACAAATTTCCATTTTGCAGGGGAGTTTTCCTTAATTTTGTGAATGTGGTGAAAATTAACCTTGCAAAAAATACCCATTCATAAGCAAAGAATATATTTTTAAAAAATGGTTTTTGCTTGCACATTATTGGATGACTGAAGCCAGCAGAGCTTTACCTCTTTCACTAAAATAAATTAAAAATGACTTGCAAAGTAAACTGCCTATTTGCTTTTAGCAAATCAACCACACAGTATGCAAGCCTGGCTTACCTACTGTACACTTTTGATAGTATACAAGATTTGGCTATGTGTATTGCATTTTTCAATATGTCCATTTGCAAACTTATTATGTTTGAAGGACTCACTTCCCATACTTTTTGGCAGGTTCCTTCTGTGAATAGGGGGGACGTTTGCTGTGTGGCATTTGGATAAATCATATACTGTATAACTAAATCAGATTTTGTTTGCACATGCACTCTATGTGAAGTGGATATAATGAACATCTATTTTTTTTTTATATATGAATGGTGCATTAAAGTTGAACTCTGGGAAAGTAAAAAAATCTTCTTTGCAGCAGGACTGCCCCTGCACTGCAAGGGTTAAATGCTCATTTAGGTCTAGGGGACTGCAAAAAAAAAAAGCTTTACTTACCCGATGCTCCACTTCCATATGCTCCCTCCAGGCTTAAAGCCTAATCCCAGCAATCTCTCCTTCCCTATTCCTGGTGGTCCGATGCCCTTTGATATCATCAAGAATAATGTAAAGTTCCTAGTCCTGCACTGGACTTGAGGGTGTCAAGGAGCAATCTATTGCCAGATAGTAGAGGATATATTCCACTCCACACTTTTAGAGTAAACTCACTTTGGATCCAGAGCCTCAGATCTATTCTTTTCTTGAAAAATATTCACGAAACATCAGTGAACCAGATAGTAGGGGAAATATGGCCATGATAGGTGAATGTTTCCAACTCCTATGCTAAATTGGGTTCTAGGTGCAAGCAAAGTTTTGCAGGTGCTCTTAAAATCCTTGGGTAAAAAAGGTTAATGGACAAATATTTGTCTAGCTTTTAAATTCATTTGTTTTAAACAGATAGTAATTGGCAGTAAAATGCTCAACCATAATCAGTAGTTTCATAAAAGGAGAATTTGATGGAAACTTACTTTATTCGATGTGGATACCCTGCTCCTTGCGCTTCGTTATTGTTTTTAGGAGGAATATTATGAGTGGCACTTTTCTCCTGAAAAAAATTATAGGAATAAAAAATTTAAATACAAATGTTAAAGTTTACCTACATCTATGCATAGGCTTATTAATTATAGAGACCCTGTCATTTAAAAAAAAAAAAAAAAAATCCAAAAAACGACAGGTTCCTGCAATGACCTTCTTTTGGCCAGTTTTTCCCTACATTCCACTCTTCCAGGGCTACAACCTGCATTAGACATTTTAGCATTCAACAAAAGTTTCAAATACCTGGTTTTTTCCTCCAACACCTACATCACACTGTGATGTAGGGATTGAAGGATGGAAATTGAAACCACATGCAGTGGAAGACAACAGAAACTGACACCACAGAAGTGACAAAAACTGCAGGTTGCATTGCAGGGCATGCAACTGTGAAAAATAAAAGGTCTTAAAATGGTTGTAAACCTTCACATATACCCAGTGAAGTGAATAGCCCCAGCTGATGAAACAAATCCTCCTGCATAAGTTTTACTTGTCTATCTACAGTCTTCTGTTTTGTACGTCCCTTCAAAAGGGCTGCTCTTAGATAAAATTCTTCTGCAATTGGCAGTATCACAGAGATGGGGGCAGGGAGCCGCAGTTAGAGGTGAAAGGGACACCCGCCCCAAACACACAGCACATAGGCGCTACAGTGGGGCAAAAAAGTATTTAGTCAGCCACCAATTGTGCAAGTTCTCCCACTTAAAAAGATGAGAGAGGCCTGTAATTGGCATTGTAGGTAGACCTCAACTATGAGAGACAAAATGAGAAAAAAAAAAAAAACCAGACAATCACATTGGCTGATTTATTTGCAAATTATGGTGGAAAATAAGTATTTGGTCACCTACAAACAAGCAAGATTTCTGTTTCTCACATACCTGTACCTTCTTCTTTAAGAGGCTCCTCTGTCCTGCACTCATTACCTGTATCAATGGCACCTGTTTGAGGTTGTGGACAGGTGTCTTTTATACTGATAACAAGTTCAAACAGTCACACTCCAAACTCCACTATGGTGAAGACCAAAGAGCTGTCGAAGGACACCAGAAACAAAATTGTAGACCTGCACCAGGCTGGGAAGACTGAATCTGCAATAGGCAAGCAGCTTGGTGTGAACAAATCAACTGTGGGAGCAATAATTAGAAAATGGAAGACATACAAGACCACTGATAATCTCCCTCGATCTGGGGCTCCATGCAAGATCTCACCCCGTGGGGTCAAAATGATCACAAGAACGGTGAGCAGAAATCCCAGGACCACATGGGGGGACTTAGTGAATGACCTGCAGAGAGCTGGGACCAACGTAACAAAGGCTACCATCAGTAACACACTACGCCGCCAGGGACTTAGATCCTGCAGTGCCAGACGTGTCCCCCTGCTTAAGCCAGTACATGTCCGGGCCCGTCTGAAGTTTGCTTGAGAGCATTTGGATGATCCAGAAGAGGATTGGGAGAATGTCATATGGTCAGATGAAACCAAAATAGAACTGTTTGGTAGAAACACAACTCGTCGTGTTTGGAGGAGAGAGAATGCTGAGTTGCATCCAAAGAACACCATACCTACTGTGAAGCATGGGGGTGGCAACATCATGCTTTGGGGCTGTTTTTCCGCAAAGGGACCAGAACGACTGATCCATGTACAGGACAGAATGAATGGGGCCATGTATCATGAGATTTTGAGTGCAAACCTCCTTCCATCAGCAAGGGCATTGAAGATGAAACGTGGCTGGGTCTTCCAACATGACAAGGATCCCAAACATACCGCCCGGGCAACGAAGGAGTGGCTTCGTAAGAAGCATTTCAAGGTCCTGGAGTGGCCTAGCCAGTCTCCAGATTTCAACCCTATAGAAAACCTTTGGAGGGAGTTGAAAGTCCATGTTGCCCAGCGACAGCCCCAAAACATCACTGCTCTAGAGGAGATCTGCATGGAGGAATGGGCCAACATACCAGCAACAGTGTGTGCCAACCTTGTGAAGACTTACAGGAAACGTTTGACCTCTGTCATTGCAAACAAAGGATATATAACAAAGTAATGAGATGAACTTTTGATATTGACCAAATACTTATTTTCCACCATAATTTGCAAATAAATTCTTTCCAAATCAGCCAATGTGATTGTCTGGATTTTTTTTTCTCATTTTGTCTCTCATAGTTGAGGTCTACCTATGATGCCAATTACAGGCCTCTCATCTTTTTAAGTGGGAGAACTTGCACAATTGGTGGCTGACTAAATACTTTTTTGCCCCACTGTATGTTGTGAAAAGACAAGCTAGTCTGCTGAGCTCTTCCCCCCCCCCCCCCACACAAATACATCTCATGTGTCGGGAAAACTTGTCAGAAGTGACGCATGCTGATAACAGAGGAATGAAGCACCAGGAAGAAATGACACCTAGAGCTTTGCAGAGAGACAACCAAACACTATAGATATCTGTGCTTTGTTCAAATTTCATGACTGAGGTTTACAACCAATTTAAACAGGGCCCATAACCTTTTGTCCTTAAACATGGGACATTACTGCTTTCAAAATAACCCTTTTAGCTTTAGGAATGTTTTCATAAAAAGTGCAAAAAGGCACCTGCCCTCAACCCACCAGCAACTTTTTGAAAGTGTACAAAGTGTCTTTCCCTAGAAAGCCAAGCATTCCCTGGATTAAAGGGCATCACAGATGGCCTTCCTTACAGTAATTCGAGGCATTTTCTGAACCTTTGGCAGAGTAGGGATGGCAGCTTGTGTCCATCCTGAGTACCTAAAAACTCTGCAATCCATATGTTTAAAATGCTGAGCAGTGATGGGCCGACCCTTGTGTTCAGTTCGTGGCCAAAAGTTCAAACCTAATGAACGTTTGACTGCGAACTTCGAACTCAATGCAAGCCTATGGGACTTGAACTTATAAATTCAAAAGTGCCCATTTTGAAGTCTTGTATGCAAGTTATTGGCCATAAAAGGGGTATGGGGACTCAGGTACTGCCCTGAGGGACATTAATCAGCGGGGAACAAAAAGTACCATTTTTAAAGGGGCAGTTATTTTTCATTGCTTAACCACATGCCCTCCAGAGGATTTACCCCCTTTTCCTAACCAGGCAATTGTTTGCAATACGACGCTGCGTTGACTGACAATTGCACGCCTTTTTACCACAAATAGGTCATGCAACATTTTTATTTTTTGAGCTGCAAAAAAAGACCAGCAATTTAAAAAAAAAAATTAAGGTTTCCTTTTTCCCACAAATAGAGTTTTGCTTTGAAAAAAAAAAAAAATTCCAATACATGTAAATCTATTGATTGCCTCTGCGATTTTACTGGAAATTTTTTTATAGCGGGACTGCTGTACACTAACTGCCAAAAAAAGACAGTGCAGCAAAAAAAAGCATTTGTAAATGAAAAAAATGGGGCGAAAAGGGTTAACTGTGTACTGTTTTACTATGTGACTTTTTTCTATATTGAATAATTTTTTTTTTTCGTTAATTACATTTTTATTTTACAATTTTTATATATATACAGTCATGGCAATGTTGGCACCCTTGATACCTGAAAATCTACAGGTATTGAAAAATTTTTAAAAAATCAAATCTCATCATAAATTTAGGCCAAAAAATGTATTCTGCTACATGTCCTTTCTAAAAAAAAAAAACAGAAGAAAAGCAAATTCCAATACAAAACCCCAAAAATAAAAAGTATTGGCTAACTTGGTTGCACACCCTTTGGAAAACATAACTGTCAGATAAATCAATAGCTTCTGACACCTCTCACCCGGAATTTTGGACCACTCTTCCTTTGCAAACAGCTCCAGGTATTCTTATAAGGACACCTGGAACAGGTTTTCAATGGGATTTAGATCTGGGCTCATTGCTGGCCACTTCAGGCGCTTCTTTGCCATCCATTTCTGAGTGCTTTTTGACGTATGTTTTGGGGTCATTGATCCTGCTTCTTGACGCACCCAGCTTTCTGACACTGGGCCCTACAGTGCGACCCAAAATCCCCTCAGTGACATGATGCCTTGCACACAGTGAAGGCAGTGCCAGAGGCAGCAAAAAACCCCAAAACATCATTGAACACCATATTTTACCGTAGGTACTGTGTTTTGTTCTTTGTAGGCCTCATTCCTTTTCGGTAAACAGTAGAATGATGTGTTTACGAAAAGCTCTATCTTGGTCTCATCTGCCACAAGATCAAAGGCTTTTGGCTTACTCAAGTTTTTGGCAAACTGTAGTACTTGTTTTATGTCTCTGTGTCAGCTGTGGGGTCCTCCTGGGTCTCCTGCTGCTTTCATTTCATTTAATGTCGAATTCGCGCTGACACTGATGCTCCCTGCTGCAGGATGTATAGAACATGTTTGGGGCTGCTTACCACCATCCGGACTGCGTTGCACTTTCATCAATTTTCCTCATCCGACCATTTTACAGTGCCATGGGTTGCAAACTTCTTGAGCGCTGTTGCGCACTGTGGACAAAGGCAAATTTTCTCTGGAGATGGACTTAACCTTGAAGACACCAGATTGTTGATATTTTGCCACAATTTTGGTTCTCAGGTCCTCAGACAGTTCTCGTCTCCTCTTTCTGTTGTCCATGCTTAGTGTGGCACAGACAGACACACAATGCAAAGGTTAAGTGAACGTCTCTCCTTTTTTTCATCTGCTTTTCAGGTATTTCCTATATTGCCCATATTACTTGCCCCAGGTGGTGTTTACAGGAGCATCACATGTTGTAACATATGCAGCTTTGTGAAAGGGTGCCAATACTTTTGGTGTGGGAATTTGCTCCACACAAAGGGAATAAACATGTGTATAGCTTGTTAATGCAATTCTTAATTTATGTATGTGGGGTCCCCCCCTAATACTTTAGGCCTGGTAGGACTTTTAAGGGGAACCCCACCTCCCAAAAATGGGGGGAAAGTGCATGGGGTTCCCCCCAAAAGCCTTACCCAAGCCTTAGCCCTTGATCTACGCACCCCCCCCCCCCGCCCGCTGCCACGCCATGTGCCCTCGGCATTGGGTGGTGGCCTCTTCCTCAGAACCCTAGCCCAGTGGTTATGGGGGTCTGTGGGCAGGGGGCTCATTAGCATGATGGTACCCCTTTAAATAAGGGAGCACCCTGATGCTGCCCCCCCTTGTGAATGAGTAAGGTGTACCCATTTACTAAACGGTTAAATGCAGAAAAAAAATAAAAAGACACCAGACTTTTGAAAAATTCCTTTAATTGAGAGAACCCCCCCCCCCAAAAAAAGAGGTTTTTTGACAAATGGTTCCATCGTTGTAATCCATCATCAATCACGACGTACAGATTTGTCCTGACAATGCCGACTCACCGAGTTTAAAAGAAACCTGATACCCACCAACCCGTCTGCACCTATTGAGCACTCGCTGCAATCTGACATTTGCGGGTCAGATATAAACAATTGGGCGGAGGTAGTGGTGATGTCACCAGTAGCTCCACCCAATTGTGCTGTGATTAGCAAAAGCATTGCATCTGACCTATGGTCAGGTGCTTCATTTTGGTTAATCATGGTGAGAGCACAGTGCATTGTAGGGCGTGGCGAACACACAAACTGCTGATGTTAGAGTCAAACTTGTGTTCGACTCAAACATCAAGCCCATCTCTAATGCTGAGGAAGCGTGCTCACAAATGTGATGTGCCCTGAATTCCCTTACATTTTTACATGACCATTTTAGTAAACATACTACTGGGTGGGCTCAATATTTTCAGATTATAAAAGAAAGCCAGATTTAATAATTACCACCTACCAGGTTTTCTTGGTTCCTGGTTACTATTTTCTGTTCCTCTTCCTCCCCATTTTTCATGTACTTGACTTCTTCAACTGGTTTGAATCTGTATTCGTCTGCAAGAAAATTTCAAATGTATTCAAACCATATCCACATTGATTTTATATTAAACTGCTCAGAGTGAAATCCACAGAGCATTGTTAACTTTCCCTCATTAACTTTCCTCCAGTTAGCCATATTGGAAACAAATGTGGAAAGCCCCTTGTCAATTAATTTTCATGACACAGGCATTATACCGTAGACCACATCATTATACACTGCTGTTCCAATAACAACATATACTGCTCTCCTCTGGTCAGCAGGTCGGTGGAGTATTTCTAGTGAAGTGGCAGGAGGGCCCTTTACCAGTCTACTTTATTGGGGGTTCAATAAAAGTAATGAGTGCAATTAACGTGACAGCTCTCTAATTATATAGTTTATGTTATTTGACAGATACAAGATCGTTGATGTTGAAATCAACTTTGGTTTGCAATTGCTGCCAAGGAAGGAAGGATTATTTCTACTATTAGAAGTTGTGCCTACTTGACAAAAAGTGCAGAGATAACTCTCATATGTGGCAAAAAAAAAACCGTGGCAAACCCTACTCTACCCAAAGTGAAGAAAAAAATATGGGGTTTAGATATACTTAAAAGGCAGCCTTTTTCAACCAGAGTGTCAAGATTCCCCTGGGTGCCTTCGGGTTTCTTCAGGGGGGCCTTGACAAAATTTCTAAAAATGTCCAAAAAATTGTATACAAGCCAGCCAGTAGATCTGAACTGCCTTAGTTACACAAAGCCACCTGTTTTCTTTGTGCATTATTACTACCTTCCAGCCGCTGGCCTCCTAGCAACCAATGATGTAATCAGTTGACATGGAGGTTTTTGGGTGCTTGCACAGTATCTTTGTTTGCCCCTCCCCTGTCCCTCTTCTTCAGCACTTGGGTCACATTAGCTAAGTGAGGGAGAGAAACTGAAGGAGAAGAGAAATACTGAAGTATTAGTAGCAGTGTGCAAAGGCATATTTGCTTTGGAAGAGTAATGTGTGTGGATGTTGCTGCATTATGTGAAACTATTAGTTGAATTTTTTACATTTTAGAATGGGGTGCCTCGAGATTGAGCAGAATTTAAAGGGTGCCTTACTGAAAAAAGGTTGAGAAACACTGCTTTAAGGCATATGTTGTGGGTACCAGGACAAATGTGCAGCATACAGTATATAGTGAGTATGATCTTTTTAACCAGGCCATTTTAGGCTGCAACCAGTGTTCAGTGTAATATGATCGTGTGCACTTCTCACACATATTTTTACAAACATTTTGCAGATTGTCTTTGTCAGTGTGTCTTCAGATGGTCTTTCAGAATCCTAGCATTTCCCTTTTAACAAAGCTTTGGTTTTAATTTTTTTAAGCGGAGTCATTTGTTAATTTCCGTACTGCCATTTCAGATTCCAGTATCAGACTTTGCTCCCCTCCTTCAGGGACTGAAAAAGAGAGTTTTCCTTACAGCAGATGTTTTTAGATTTGTTGTTCTTCTGGTCTTTTGTGCTACTCAAGAGTTAACCTAATTTGTATTGAAGAACAGAATCAGTTCTGTTGATAATATATAATTATAGAATATCAAATGCCTTATCTATTATTACCGACTTCAGCTGCTTCTTCTCCTTGAGAAGCTTTTTTTGCCCAGTTATGTTCATCACACCCTGCATTGTGTTATACAGTCTTAACATTTTATTTTCTGTTTTGGGTCTACCCTTTTTTCTCTGTGTTTACTGTATGTTTTAGTTATAACGATTATGTGCAATAGAGACATGGAAGCTGTATGCGACAGCCATCTTGTTAAGGTCTCAGTCATTTTGTTTTTCATGAACAATCATCCTTCACCCCTCCTCTTGAAATGGAATTTGAAGCTGTACCAGACTTGAAAAGAGCCTCTTATCGTAAATAAAACACAAATAGGGGCCAGCTCCAGAGCTGTAAACCACTAATAAGTCTTGGCAGGATGTCTATTATGCAAAGACACTTTCCTCTGCCCGATCGTAAAACAATAACTCAGTCAGCCATCACACATGACCTATATATATATATACAACCTTTTTGTGAATTATAAAAATAAATAAATAAAATAAATAAATCAATTTCAAATTATAAACATATAATGTACAACAAAGTCCCACTAATCCAGAAAAATGTCCAAAAAGAAGTCCAAAATAGTGTCCACAAATATCCCAAATATATTCACTCTTTTCATCCACTGAAAGGATTGGCTGCTATTCCATCCAAAACGCACCTCGAAATAAGATATCTAGTGCATTACCTCAATAATAATAAAAATAACAATAATCACCCCGTGCAACCAAAATACACTTCAAAAACACTTTTAGTGAAAAAAATTTTTTTTTAATTAATTTCTTATAGTGCATATAATCACACACATCAAACTGTGAACACTCTGTAGTCACTGCAAATCAGTGTCTACCATCAACCAGCACACAGTAGTACTAAATACTATTACCCTCTTATGAGTATTGGAAATGCTCAGACAATATTATGGAAAAGTATTTATCCACCTCATCTTCCAAGTTATTTATTTTCTTTCCAAGGTCCTCAGAGAGATAAACAGGGTCTCAGGACTAGTATTTCAAGTATATGGATAACCTTTTATTCAACACTTACATTTAAAATTAGAATTATCAGCTCCAGACATGGTTAGAAACTTCTCCAACCAAACACCATGTGTTAAAAACCAAAAAAATGGCCGCGGCGACACTTCCAGTCTACGTACGTGCGCCTTGACGTTTTTAATTTAATTTTTTTTTTTCTTCACTAAAAGTGTTTTTGAAGTGTATTTTGGTTGCACGGGGTGATTATTGTTGTTTTTATTATTATTTTTTTTTTTCTTTTTTTTTTTTTTTTTCTTTTTATAAATATTTATTTTGTTTTTCAAGTCATATACAAATCATTTCCACATTTCTATTAAAATAGTTATCTAAACAGTAATTTCTCCTTATATAATTTAATTAATTATATACATAACTTCCTTTTCCATCCCCCCTCCCATACACCCCCCCCCCTCCCTCTCCTCATCCCCTCCCCTCCTCCCCACTCCCCTCCCACGCTCACCCTTTCTCTTGTCTCGTTTACTCCATATATTTCTGTTGTTCCTAAACTCCATTTTAAGCCCACTTCCAGGAAAATTATCTCATCATGTATTTCACCTTTGCTTTATATTCTTCCCAGGCTTTCCATTTTTTATTATATATCTCTAACTTGTCCTCATACGTATAATACAGTCTTTCTGTCCCAGATATCTGATTTACTCTTCCCATCCAATCCTCCTCAGTTGGCACCTCTCTTTTCTTCCAGTACCTGGGGATCAGACTCTTTGCTGCGGTCAGATATTGCCATATCCCCGAACTCTTATATACCTTCGTTGAGAGTTCTGAGATATGGAGGAGACCTAATTCTGGATCCAATCCTATATTGATTTTGGTAATTTTTCTTATCAAATAAACTATCCTCCGCCAAAACACCTGTATTTCTGGGCACTCCCACCACATATGATACCACGTGCCCTCCTCGCGACAACCTCTCCAACACATCTGTGACATTTCCGCATTCATCCTGTGCTCCACGTTCGGGGTAATGTGCCATCTATTTAAACACTTATAATTTATTTCTACTTCCCTCATACTAATATTTTCGTGAATTAATGTGAACATTTTCCTCTGCTCCTGCTCCTCTATTTTTCTTCCCTTATCTCTTTCCCATTTTTCTACGTGCATTAATTTTGTGTCAGTGTCAAGTTCCATTAATATCTTGTATATTTTTTGCCATTCCGTGTCTACCATTTCCCCGTGTCTCAAATATCCTCTCGAACGGATTCCAGTCTTTTCTAGTTCTTATTGGCTTTGGGAGGCTTTCAAAAAAATACTTCAATCGGTAGTATCTCAATCTATCCATCTTGTTAAAGACTTCTCCCTTTCTTTCCTCCATTTCCTTGTATGACCCGATTTCCTCTCCCACCATTATATCTCTCAATTGCGCCTCTTGTTTTATGATCCATTTCCCTGCTATACTTCCATACCTGGAATAAAATATTTTGTATTTCTAAGTGGTATTAATTGTGAATTAAAAACCCACCCCTTTTGTCTGTGTAGTGAATCCCATTCTTTTAAAACATTAAAAGTGTACGTGCTAGTGCTCTCCTCTAATTCCCTATATTGTGCCGGTACCCAAATACTTTTACTTAAACTTATTCCACTCAGTGCATTCTCGATTTTAAACCCAACTTTTCTCCGGGTTATGGATCCAGTCAAAGATTCTCGCAATAATCCCCGCTCTATAATATCTCTGTAAATCTGGTACCCCCAATTCTCCTCTCTCTTTACTTCTAATCAACGTCTCATAACCTATTCTAGGTTTTTTTATTTCTCCATATATATTTTATTATCATTTTCCTGAGTTCTTTGAAATATGCCTCCGGGAGTTTGATTGGAATCATTTGGAATTTGTATAATACTTTGGGAACAATTACCATCTTTATCAGGTTTATGCGCGCTATCCATGAAGGATTTCCATTTCCCACCCTCCTGAGCTCCTCCTTGATCTCATTTAATAATGCTATATAATTGGCTTTATATAGGTTCTTTGTTGAGGTTGATAGTTTTATTCCTAAATATTTTAACTCTTTATCTCTCCAGAGGAAAGGGAATTCCTCTTGTAATTTTTCTTTTTCACTATTTTTAAGGTTTATATTTAAGATTTCAGTCTTTGTCGGGTTAATTTTCAGGTTTGACAGTTCTCCATACTCCCTCAATGCTTTCATTAAATTTGGAAGTGATGTTCTGGGGTTTCCAACGTAAAACATCAGATCGTCCGCATACGCCGCAACCTTATGTTCTCGATCTCCTATCTTTATTCCTTTTATATCTATATTCTTCCTTATCCTAGACAACAAGGGCTCCAGTGATAACACATACAGCAATGGAGACAGTGGACATCCCTGTCTTGTACCATTTGACATCTTTAACTGCTCTGATCTTCCTCCATTTACCATTATGGTGGCGGTAGGCCCTCTATATA